TTTTCAGTGAGTACTATGCAGTGGACAGGCAGACAGGTCGGCAGGCAGGCAGGCAGTGATGCCGCAGTGGCACGGACACTCTAATTGGCGAGCCTCAGTAACGAGCGAGAGGGAGAGGGAGAGGGAGAGAGAGGGAGCAAGTCAGCTGTTAGCTAGTTGCTGCTGCTGGCAGTCTAGTCTGCTGGGAGATTGTAGTGTAGTGGGAAATCGTAGCACTAAGGGGGCAAGGTAGGTAAAGACAGTCTTAGTAAGTCGCAGTAAGCTTAGGCAGCATCAGTGCACGGACGAACAGAGAACGGACAGATCAGACAGAGAACGATAGAAAGAAAAAAGAAAAAAAGAAAGCAGAGAGAAAGCAAACAGAGCGGCGGACAATGGAAGTAAGCAGTGGTAATCTAAATTGCCTCGTTAGCTAATTATCCCCAACAGGATCGATTGCTGCTGCGGTTGCTGCTGTTACTGATGTTGCTGATGTTGCTGTCGCTCTTTTTGTCGTCCATGCAGGCATGTTGCAAAAGTTTCTGCTAGTCAGGCAGAATTAAAGTGAAGATCAGATCGATTGAGATGGGACACCTAGTGCTTTTACTGCTGCTGTTGCTGCTGTTCTGCTAAAGTAAGTGTTTTGTCTAGTGTGCGTATGTTTCAGCCCACTTCAGTGCTTTTAGGTCTACCGAAATGGACCACAGTGGACGACAGTGTGCCCGAGTGGCTGAGTCTTTGTTTTTGTGTTTTTTTGTTTCACTACAACTGCACTGATTTGCAGCACTCTAAATGCGCCGTTATAGAATCGCCAGCAGAATCGGCGCTGCTGCTGTTGCTGTTGCTGCTGCTAATACAACTGTTAAGAAAATGCACTGAAAAATGCATGAACAAAGACGGAATTGTATTTTCACTTGTACAGTAACGGTGCGGCCAAATGGTAATTGTCTGTTTGCGTGATCACTGTGCACTCTTTTTCTTTTTCCCCCAACTCTCCTTTCTTCTTCCTTACTAGTGTTACTGTTGCTATCGGTCTCACTGCTATCTCTGGCGCCCACTAGTTTTTAAGTGGAATGTAACCGCCAATAATGAAACTGCACCACACACAAACACACAGAAAGTGAAGAGTGGCCAATGGCGCAACAGTCACCGAGAAAGAGAGAGAAAAAAAGAAAATGCGGTAGCTACTTAAAACTCGGCGATGCTTTTACCGTTTCCGGCAGTACGAAATCTGCAAGAAAGGCAAAAAAGAAGCCGAAAAAAATTGAATTGAGGTGAGTTTTATTAGGTAAAGCGGACGCCTGGAGATGAAAATTTGAACAGTGAAGCAGGCAAATTGAATCGCTCGCTCTGCCCACTCGGCTCTGATCAGTGCAGTTGACGCACACACAAAGTGCGGCTTTTGCTGATGATGAACAATTTTCTTTTTTCCGCCTTTTCATCACCCAAAATTGTCCCCGCGTGGGCTTACAAACTTTTCACTGTCTTTCTGTCTGTCTGTCGGTCTGTGCGTTGATCAACCCTCGGCAGTCTGTTTGCCGACTATTTATTTGTCAAACAACGTACACTACTGAAAACTTGCTGAACTAAATTAAATTCGTTTTCGACGAAACGACAGCAGTAGCAAGAACAGTAGCGTACTCTTCACTTCAAACCGTTGCGTTTGCATGCCAATATAAACAAGCAAAAAATGATAAATGAAAATGCAACGTTAAAAAAAGACTGTTTTGCCAAAATCAGTTTTTAAGGAATTTCGCCAATGTTTATTGTGCTGCTGAATTAATTCAATTAAAAGAATTTTGGCATTTTAAAAGATCAAACGGCAAACTGGCAAATACTTTGAAAATTGACAGTAATTTTTTTAAAATTGATTAAATGTTTTTTATCGTTTTGTGTAATTTTTAAATTTATAGTTTTTTCTGTTTTTAACTAAAAATTTTAGTTATAAAAAAGGCAAATTTAATTGCGGATATTACAAAATTAACTTTTAATAACAATTCTTATATAACAATCTTGATATTAAATTAATTTAAAAAACTATTAGAGAGAACTAACGGTTATTATCATTTACAACTTAAAAGTAAAATTTTTTAACAACTGTTTTTTGTTATATTTGATATTTTACGCTTGGTTGCTAGGAAATTTTTATACTCACTCTAAATTTAAAATTGTTCATTTAAAAATTAGGTTGTTTTTTAATTTTTATAGCACAACAACCACAACACTATCAAGATAATTTTTCTCTAGTGAAAAAACATTTGTGTCACATAAATTTTAACATAGCGTGTGTTTTTTATTTTGCATTTCTACTCATATGTATGTTTGTTAAATTTAAATAACAATCGGGTGCGGCTAATAGTCACTTAATGCTGCAGTCGGATTGATATCTTTTTCACCGTACTACTAAATTTTTAAAAAGTTTGCTCATTTATTGTAAGATAACTGAGATAGTCAATAAACTGATAAAAACCTATTGACCAGTACATTCTAAAACAATAACAGCATGTATTGCGAACAGTTTAGTTTAACAGTAGTCAGAAAAACCTTTTACTGTAGTTGACAAAAACTGTGCTAGAGTATTGCAGTGCAGAGAAGCCAACTGCTAAAAAAAATTCAGAAGTTTAAAGTTTAGTAGTATGAGTATTCTTAGTTAAAATGAGTATTCTTAGTAAAAAAACTACAAACTAAAAAATTTGTATAGTTTAGCCTAAACTGTTTATTTTTTTATTTATCATTGTTATTCAAACAAATGATCATACTGCAGTAAATGATCATTTGCAATCATTAGCGTAGTGTTACTAAGGAAATGTTAACAATATATAGCCTAATGAACTTTTAAAATAAAACTGCAAACCAGACAGATTGCAGTTTTTGAAACTTTTCTACACTAGTAAGTTTATGTCGTGTCAAGAGTTTCAAAGTTGCCAACAAAAAAACGTAACCCGAACAGCCATTTAGTCAAAGAAAGTTTGCATAAAACTCGAATTAGAATGCTCATTTACAAATGCAACAAAATCTTTTCAAATGCCACTTTCCGTTTTTTTTGTCAGTAAGTTAACAGCGACACTTTTTGATAGTATTTGAAAGCAATGCAAGATGTAAATACTTTACCCTTTTGCATTTTTAAAGATCTTTTTAATTGTTGCTAAACAATATTAGAACTAGAATAGGTAGGCCACTAAGTGATTTTTATCAATAATAGCAAAGCTGATGCTGATAATGATAGTACTGGTTGTTAGTGGTGCTTTTGTAGAATTCTATTTATTGCACTGAATCTACGGAGAAAAAAGGTGAGTGATTTGTGGTTAGTGCAGACAGACAGAAAGCTGGTGCACGAGTGATCGACTGACACAACTACACAGCCCTGGCGTCAATTATTTAGTATAAGTGATAATGACTACATAATGGTGACTAGCATTAGATAAATAGGCAAAAATGGCTGGTGCAGACAAAACTGCAGTAAGGAAACACAAACTCGAGACACTATACAAGTTTTAAAATTAAGTTGATAGTAAAAATTTAAAAAAATTACTGGGTATGGGAACTGAACCAAATTGTAGTTGTGTTTTGTTTAAGTTGTAAACATTTTAGCATAATTTTAATTGAGCAGTAGCAACAACAACATTAAAAACAAATCGATGAGAAACTAATTGATAAAAAAATTAATTTTTTGTAATCATAGACAACAAATTTAAAATAAAGTAAACGAGTATTTGTTTACAAATGTATGAAAATGTGCAGAAATCATTGTTTGAAAACAATATCTTGGATGTAATTTAACTTTAAAAACTTAATTAGCAATACAAAATTAGTTAGGTAGATGTAACTAACTTCTAAAATTAGGTGACTAATAAAATTGTATCACACTGGTCAGCAGCACTGTTTCACACGGTTCGGTCAGTTGCAGAAAGATCTAAATGGTGATAATTGCTTACATGCCCTCGATAGATTGCGTCCTCCAGTTGGGTGGAATGGGTCAAACACAAGCACTGTTTAGGCTACGATGCAGTTCCGATGGGTGTGTTGGTGTTGGTGGTGCTGGTAGATGAGCAATAAGCAGTGATGAAATGTGAATTGCTTGCTAGCAATCGGCAAGCAGACATTGGCACTGACAAACACAACAAACACACACACACAAACACAGACTCACTTACTTGGCTAAAACCACTGGAAACTGTCACTTGGATGGTCAGATGGCTTCTAAATGCACTGTAATATGACGAAGATATTACACGTCGAAAGTGGAGCACGAGTGGACAGAGATGACCGGATGAAAGAGGTGCTGCTGCTGCGGCTGGTCGTATGGATTGCTATGGTATGGTATGGCATGGAATGGTCCAATGACCGGGTTTCAGCTGCTGGCAGTGTTCGGGCTGGCTGGCTCCCTCTGCGAGTTCGATCACTTGCGAGCGCGCGAATCACTCCCAGCGCCAGTGTCA